ATCAAAGAGTGTGGTGATAGTGAAGTTGATTAATGTGATCAAATGGGGTAAACAGGTCTGTAGAAACTTACTTCTGCCTTCACTGGACTTTAAACACTCTCTAATAATCTCAATGTAAGAATATACAATAAAAAAGGCTTGTATGATATGAACAATTACTACAATATAACCATAGATATTGTTGAGAGTTGTGTCTACACAGGACAGTTTTACAATTGACCAGTTGTCACAGTAGAGTCTGTCAATCCGAGACCCACACAAAGACAGTCTCAACGTTAACAAAATTGGTATCACTGTTTCACAGAATGTAAGAATCCACAAAATCAAAACTATGTTTCTAGCAGTCACAGTATTTATGATAGAATGATACTCTAATGGTTTGCATATCGCCACATACCTGTCATAGGCCATCACTGTTAAATTAGAAAACTCACACAAAACAGAAGAGTAGATCACAAAAGCTTGAATCAAACATCCAGTGTATGAGATAACATGGGTGTCAGAGAGAAAGTCAGCCAGGAGTTTAGGATAGAAACCAGCAGTTCCATACAGTGTGTTGACACTCAAGTTACAGATGAAGATGTACATGGGCTCATGGAGGGATTTCTCCAGGAGGACTGTAGCAATCAGAGTCAGATTCAAAAATATGATGAAGAGGTAAAAAAGAAAAGTAAAAGTAAAAAATACATACTTCTGTGATCTTGTTTCATTTAATCCACTGAGATTAAATATGATAGCATCAGACAAGTTTTCCATCAATGATGCTGTTAATGTGAATTAAAAATGTAACAGAGGATAAACTTTAATTAGAAAATGCAAATACTCCAGTTAACAGGAAACCAACAAATGTAGGATATGGATCAAGTTCCCCAGCACTCCATGCTGCCCATTATAAATGGTTCAGACTCGATTGTGGAGAGAGCATTTCTCCTCCTGTGCTGCCTATAGGTACTTCTTCCCAGCAGAGGGTGCTCAAACCATGAAACCTGTCTGCCAATCGTGATCAGGTACAAGACACAAGATTCACAGAGGCATGTCCTCCTCCAGTAATCACGTTTACTGATTACATTTAAAAAATAAATTTATGAAAGTACAGTCATGAGGTAGAACATATTATTAATATTTTACAGATAAACAAACACAAACTTAAACTTAAATGTAAAAATATTTATTAGACATGCAATTATAGTTACACAGTTTTATGATGAAATGAGCCATAATGCTAGAAATGATGTTTTCTCTCTTTTAGATAAAGCTACAGATGACAGTATATACAGACATTACCTCTCAGTAATGCAGGGTGTTGCTGCAGGAAGAGCATGAAGATTTGTTTCTCAATCAGAGCTAATTTACTGCTTTATACTGTATGTCTCCTGCAGGAGGGAGGCTTTAGAGAGTTGCTGTCTGGAAGTCCTGGGAGACCACTGGCTGTGGTGTTTTTTAATGACCCTCAAACAGAGTGCATAAATAAAATTCGAAAGTTCAAAATAACATCCTTTGTGATTGTGGAAATTTTAACTGTGTGGCACAAACCAGTGTAGACCCTTTTCCTTTAGGGAAAATGTCTGTGATTGACTGTGAAAACTGCACACCTATCAGTGTGCTGATAATAGTTTTAATGCCCAATAAAACTGGGCATTGGAACTAAACCTGAAGATACACTCTGAACAAGCACGTGTGTCATGAAAGCTGCAGAAACCCATCTTTTTTCACAGTAAAAGCACCATTGAAAGGACAGATACATTTCCCTTGCACTTCAAACTACAGATGTGATTTGTGAAAGCTCCACCTTCTCATATTTGTCTTTGTTGTCCCTCTTCAATTCCTCACATTCACCTTGGACTTCATCTTCTCAGACTAATGCCTTCCTACAGATCTTCAGTTTTCCCTGACACAACAGCACTGTTAACACCACCAGTTTCCTGTTTCTTATTTGTACACCCTCAGTACTCATGTTCTAGGGCAGGATGCAGGTGTGTAGGTGTGTCTGTGGGATTTGCCTTTCAGTTCAGGTCTTATTGACCTGAATCTGCTCACTACTAGCCTATTTGGAAAATTGACCTATTTTGCCAACTTCAGCTGCTACTACTTTGAAGGTGCCCAGAAGACCTGCAGGCTCAGACTCTCCAGGGCCTGTGACCCTGTATGACTGTGATCATCAACCAAAAGTCTGGACATGTTCAGTACCATCTTGCAGGGTTACCAGTCCCTGTCCTGGACGCCCACACACCTGTGTGTTCTTATTCCAGCTGAGTCCAGTCATCCAACTGAAGGCTTGATTGACCTAACAGGTTTCTTCATTGGAATATTTTAATTTTTCTTTTACTTACTCAAAGGAATGGGATTTTAACAAAAACAACATTAATTTAGTGAAATGAATGTCATCCTTACAATCTAAGTGCTTGAGTATGGGCACATATCTGTCACATCACTGTGTCATTGTCATTAACCTGTAGCAACTGTTGTCTATCCCAGGAGTGTGGG